ATGTCATCTCCCGAAGCTCCTTATTGGAAGGAAGCATTGAAGAGTGAGATTGAATCAATCCGGCAAAATCACACTTGGGAACTTGTGGATCTTCCACAATGATGCAAACCATTGGGTTATAAATGGGTCTTCAAAAGAAAGATGAAACCGGATGGTTCTATTGAAAAATACAAGGCGAGACTTGTAGTCAAAGGCTATAGGCAAACTGAGGGTGTCGATTACTTCGATGTTTACTCTCCAGTCGCTCGGAAAACATCCATAAGGTTTATTATAGCCTTGGCAGCCTTACATAATCTAGAATTACATCAGATGGATGTAAAGACTGCATTTCTAAATGGTGAACTGGAAGAAGAAGTATACATGCTTCAACCTGAAGGGTGCAGAGTGCACGGACAAGAGGGAAAAGAGTGTAAACATGTGAAATCATTGTATGGACTTAAACAAGCTCCGAAACAATGGCATGCGAAGTTTGATAGCGTAATGTTGTCAAATGGATTTCGGGTCAACGAGGTTGACAAGTGCATATATGTCAAAGGTAATGAGACAGAATTTGTGATTATCTGTCTTTACGTAGATGATATTATCATCACTGGTAGTAGTGATAAAGTGATTAAATCTACGAAAACCATGTTATCAAATTACTTTGACATGAAAGACTTGGGAATAGCAGATGTAATACTTGGTATGAGAATTATCAAGACACAAGATGGTTATGCGTTATCCCAAAGTCATTATATAAAACAAATCTTAGAGAGATTTGACAAAGATGGAAATTCTGAGGCCAGAACTCCAATTGATGTTAATTCTCATTTGAAAAAATATAACGGTGAGGGAGTTCAACAATTAGAATATTCCAGAATCATAGGAAGCTTAATGCATCTTATGAATAGTACAAGGCCGGATATTGCTAATACCGTGAATATGCTTAGCAGATATACAAGCAATCCAAGTTGTGATCATTGGAAGGCCATAATTAGACTCCTTAGATATCTAAGGTATACTGCGAATTATGGACTGCATTATACAAGATATCCAGCAGTATTAGAAGGATATTCTGATGCGAACTGGATCTCAGATTCGAATGAGAATAAATCCACAAGTGGATATATATTCGTTGTTGGTGGAGGTGCTATTTCGTGGAAATCCTCTAAGCAAACGTGTATTGCAAGATCCACTATGGAATCCGAATTCATAGCTTTAGACCTTGCTGGTGAAGAAGCTGAGTGGCTTCGAAACTTACTTGAGAATATTCCTATATGGCCTAAACCGGTGTCTGGAATTTGCATACATTGCGATAGTCAGTCTGCAATAGGAAGGGCAAAAAGCCATGTTTATAAGGGAAAGTCGTGACACATCCGCAGACGACATAACTCTGTTAGAAAATTACTAACAGATGGTGTCATATCTATTGATTTTGTGAGATCAAAAGATAATTTGGCTGATCCTCTGACCAAAGGCCTTAACAGAGATCAGGTGGAAATATTATCGAGGGGAATGGGATTAAAAGCCATAGAATGACAAACCACCATGATGGCAACCCAACCTATCTGGACAAACCACTAGTGTTAGGTTCAATGGGACAACCGAATTATGGGGGGTTGATGGGATCACTCGAGACCGATGTCTCTTCACATTCCTATGATAAGAGTGATACAAATTGGGAAGGTTGAGTTTATGCTCTTAAAGATTCTCTTATTTCCTACGAGAGTGGAGTATATTGAGATACTCTCAAAGAGAAATCTCCTATATCAAATATGAAGTGGGCCGCTTCTATGAGAATGACATAAAGGCTAGTTCTCTAGAGTATTTGATGAAATCTACCAGGTGCTGTCCCAGGGCCATAATGGGCGCAACAAATGGACTAATGAGAGAGAGAGGGGGTGCTGCGTGAGTACTGTTGTCTTGGTGTATACAAAAGCTGAATAGTTCAAGACATCGCGTTCACTGTTTAGCAAGTACATCCGATAGTATTTCACTACGGAAGGTTCAAAGGTAAAACTACCTTTCCGGATGCAGTAAACTCTCTATGAGTAAATTTTGCATTGCACATCATTTGCATTCAATGCATTAGTTGCATGAGATGCATTTAGGTTCACCTAACTCAAGGCCCTATTTTGATTCTTGTGGGAGATTGTTGGATTTGGGTTTATTTGAAAGAATCAAAACGGGCCTAGCCCGTGAGAAGCCTGGTCCGTATAATGTTTTAGAAACTTTAAATCTGCAGAATATTAAGAGAATATTCTTGTTTGAATTTGAAATTCAAATTCAAATTCAAATTGGATTCAAACCGCAGAATATCTATCAAATAATATTAAGAGAATATTCTTGTTTGAATTTGAAATTCAAATTCAAATTCAAATTGGATTCAAACCGCAGAATATCTATCAAATAAAATTAAGATAAGATTGAGATAATATCAAGATAAAATCAAATTTGAATTTTGAAATTCAAATTGATTTATTTTGAGATTCTCCCATCTACTATAAATAGGGGTCTTGGGTTAGCTCATAAAAGACACAGAAAAGAAACAAGCATTCTAGAGAAAAAAGAGCAGATTCCATATGATTTATATCCTTTTGTTCAATTCTATGCCATAATTTCCTTTCTTAATACCTCTTTATACTTCGGGGGAAAATAATAAGCGCATTGACTGCATTTAATAAAATGCCGAAAATGGCGAATTTCCTAGGAAATATCAACTGCTCTGCCAGTATAAAACTTGGATGGGCCAATGCGTTTTCCAATTGTTTTGATACGCATCATGTGGCCCTCGCATGAGATTCCCGCTTTCCCCCTTTCCTACTCGATGGCGAGATATGATTGGGACAACAAGGTTTGAAATCTCGTCTCTTCATAGATTATGGCATTCCCTATTTGTCTGAATGTTCTACGATCATTGCCATTGCATTTGTTTTTGCTTTGGCTAGTCATTGTCGATTCGTAATTTTGAGGGATTGTGTTTAAAGTCATCTTTCTGTTGTTTTTATTTAAAGATGGTATGCGTCGAAGAAGACGATCTTGCTGGTTTAGAAGATGCGAGCTCTGATGCAGAGGATGAAAGTTATGAAGTTGGATTGACTGATGATGAAACACCTTATAGAGGAAGAGCCTGTGGTATTGATAATTTTCTCTGATTTTTTTTTCAACGATAACATTAGTGGGTTTCAAAAGATTTAACCCAAAATCGAAATGAATGGAAAAACAAAGTTTATGCGGCCAATACCAAATAAACTTGGTATCAAGGCAATGTTGACGTTGATGGTGCAGAGGACATTGGTGGATTTGTGGAGTGTGCCCAATTAATGTGAAAAGTCTTTTTGGTGTAGGAAATTCCGAACCAACTCCTTTGATGGAAGGTGAAGGCAGATCTTTCAGGGTGCTGGGTTTTAACCGAACTCAAAGGGCCATTTTCGTTAAGACGATGATGAGGTTGTTTTTTTACATGTCTGGTCTTTTCGGCAAAACAACTTGTTCCATTCAATTCGACATCATTGTTTGTTTTCTATGCATCAAACTGTCCTCAATCTGCAACCAAAAAAAAAATTCATGTAACATATTTTCACATGTTCATGTCTGTCACTGCTGATGGTTTTGCAGGTATGGGGTTGGTAACTTGGATTGGAAGGAGTTTGTTCCTCGCTTAAAGCAGAAGACATATGAGGAGATAAAAGAGTATATGATTTAGCCCCATTTGGTTCTTTCTTCAGCTTCTGTAACAATCAACATCACTGTGGGTTGTCATTTCTTATATTTTTTTTGGAAAACCAGTAATTTTGGACCAAACCTTTTATTGGTTTCTCAGATATGGCGGGCTCTTCTTGAAGCATATCGTTGACGAAATTGATGAGAGTTCTCCAACGTTTTCAGGTGATTGGTAACTAGATCTTGTCATCATTTGTTTCCTACTGTTTTCTCTAAAACCGGCATTGGTTCTCCCGTTGCTTATAGGGTGTCAATCGGGTCGGATCGCACCAGGTCGACCTGAGTCCGCACTCGACTAGGGTTTTGGACTCGGACTCGGGCCGGTTTGATTTTTTGGACTTATATAACCAAGTCCAAAGCCCGATCGTATAAGTTTCGAGCTCGGATCGGGTCGGGCCGACCCAATCAATAACTTAGTAATTTTATTTTTTTCTTTTTTCAATTAATTTTTTTGAAAAAAAAATATCAGAATTTCGAACCGGTTCAAATCCGGCCTGAAAACCCGATTTTTTTGGTAGAAAAACTTAGGATCGAAACCCAATATTTTTCGGGTGGATTCATATCGGGTTTGGAGCCTGGTACCTAAATTAACACCCATAGTTGCTTACATCAATTATTATTATTATTATTATTATTATTATTATTATTATTATTATTATTATTATTATTATTATTATTATTATTATTATTTTATAGATGGGGTTCCTAAAGAAGGACTCAGAATTGAAGGTGTGCTTGTAAGAATCGCTATTCTGGCTCTCGTACAGGAGAAGGTAAGTCCTTTGATTGAAATCCTTTAATACCCATTCTTGCTTGTTTTGCTCAATTGTAACGAAGTTTCTATTGGAATGAGGATCTCAAGTTCGAAACCGATTCGAAATCACATATTTAGAAGGCATTTTTTTTAAAGCATTCCCATAAGGGTGACTTGTTTGGTTAATAACCAAATAACCAAATCAATACGAACCGAATAATATATAACAGTAACCAGATCGAATTAAATATAAAATCAAATCGACAAACCGAACCAAATAAAAAATAACTAGAAAACCGTAATTTTTTTAAGAAAATGAGTATTTTCATGATAATCGAACAGAATCCGAATCGAACCGAATATAATTAGACCGAAACAAACCGAATCCAATATAAAAACTGAACGGTTATAATTTTTCGAAATCCGAAATAACCGAATCCGAACATAACTGAACCAAAACCGGATTAAGCCACCCCTAAGCAAAGAGAGCTTCATTTTCGGTGCTTTTGTTTCTTCCTAAGCTTATTGCCTAACAATTTCTATTCTGTATTGATCACACTCTTTGTTTGAGCTCAAATTATTTGATGTGACAGGTGGCATTTACAGAAGAACATCCAACAAAACCAATTTTTTCCGCCCGCGTTCTCAACCAATACCCGATGTTGAGAATACCCGGAAAAGCCTGGAGGCAAGAGCACGACAAGATCATGTTCCGTGCTGTTTTAAAGTATGAGATTTTTTATTACTAGATGAGATTTCTTCTCTCTCAACACTCTCAGTTGATATTTTTTTCACCAAATATTTTTTTTCACGAAACCTTTAGGCATGGTTATGGAAGATGGCAAGCTATTGTCGATGATAAAGAGTTGGGGATTCAACAACTTATCTGCAAAGAACTAAACTTATCTGCAAACAACACTTGTGGAGGCCATGGAAGCTCGATGATGATCCACAGAGACATGCAGATAAGACTGGTCGAGTTTGTGAAGAAACGGGTGGTTCTCCTCGAAAAGGCGTTGAATTTGGAATATGCAGAAGAGTATTATGTATGTATATACTGACCCTTTGTTTTTTAACATGTCCGAAGTGAGATTTGTCCTAATCTCCGAATGGAGAATGCCCCTGGATAATCTAAATCTCTATCAAATATTTCGATTTCAGGGAATCGTTCCACCGTCAATCTGTATGTGTTCATACTTCTCTAAATTTAATCAATGTGTTAGAAGTTATGTCTTGTATGGTTCAGTTTTCTAACTGAGAGCTCTTGATGTGAATCTCAGCAGCTGTTGTTGACAGAAACCCACCTTTGAACGAGGTAAGCCCACCTTTTTCTTTAGTGGTTCTGCAAATCTATATTCGTTGTATCAATCAAAGATCTAAATTTACATTCATATATTTGAATCGTCTTTACTCAGCTGTGGAAAACTGTCGATGAGAACAATCGTGAATCTGTCGAGACATTTATGAATAACGAACCAGTGGGAGGCAATGTAAGAGAGACCTTCCGAGATCTGGAATCTTTCGATACGACCATAAACAAGATCGTATCTGCACCATCTGATGCGGAAACTGCTGATGGAAGAACATATGATGTTGAGTTGAAGGAATTGGTTGGGAAAAGCATATTCCTGGTCTTGTTGATCTGAACTTGTCGGAAAATATTGTAGAAGAGAATGTTGCCGGAAGAACTAGTGGAGATGTTGATGAGAAAATGAAGGAAGATGGCCATAAATCCAAAGATGGAGAAAGAGTTGACATTGTGCTTGATTAAGATAACAACAACAACAACAAATGGATAAAAGATTATGAAGTATCAACAGAATCAAAACATTGGGTGGTGATTAGTCTTTTAAATTGTTTTCATTACCGTTTTACATTATGCTGAATTTGGATTTTTCAATTTTACTATCATGCATACATGGCTTATCATTTGGTTTTAATATATATTGGTTTGATTTATGTTATAATATTTGTTGGTAATATTACTTTATACGTCTTATATTTTGTTTATGATAAATTTTTCAATTTTATACCGAAATTTCAACTTCAATAACTTTCAAAATATATAACTATATCATACGAACTGTATAACATTAGAAAGATAATTTCAATGTCTACGAAACGACAGTAAGAACGTGCAATTTTGTTTACAAAAAGTGAAATTAAGAATAAAAAACTTAAATTTGAACCCATGACAAATCGTGTCTCCTTAAGAAAACTTAAATTTAATGTTACCTCGCAATATTTTACCAGAACATTGGTACTTCAAACTCTAATGTCTCATCGAATTCAAAGCTCGGCTTGAATCACAAATAAATTAGAAAGTTCTTGTTTTGATTTGTGTATTTTGAAAATGAAAACAATACCTCTAATTGTTGGTTTAGGTGCTCTACGTTGCTTTACGATATGAGTACCATGACATTTTGTATTGATCGTTCATGATTTTGGTTAAGTGAATGAATGTCTTTTTCTTTATTCGTTTTGCATATTTGATGAATAAAGAAATCAATGGTTCGTTGTGAACGATCCTAAACTACATAGTCATATATTATTGTGGGAATGATAATATATTAAGACTAGCATGAGGTGTGATAGATGATTACACAGATAATCATGGATCACAGTCATGGGTACTGATTTAGAATGAAGTACTGGATGACCCGCATGAGATTGTCACATGGACACGAGTCATGACTTGAATCTCATGTTATAGATTCATGATTTGATCCTCTGACCTGAGATGTCTACGGTATCCGACATGAGGAGTGTGTACTTTGATTGCGTCAAACGTCTTGCGTAATAGAAAGATTATAACGGCGTCTCTTGAGTACGACACGAATCATGTCACGAATAGTAGATAGTCAATATGGAATTTGTACCTCTCATCCCGAGAGAGATATTGTTTGGGTCCCTCGAGTGAGGTGAGACTGAGATGCGCACAATCTGATGATAAGTTATCTGATGTTTCAGTTAACTCAACAAACGAGAAAAGCAGTCGAATCTGATAAGATGGCTGACTCCATGTCTTATGTTCGACATATGGTATCGCGTTACAAAGGGATCATTATATGGACTATTACCGGCTTTCGTTAGATCACGAAACTAACTCTATAATGTCTTGCTAGAGACCGCCTATGACTTGTATTAACGGAATAGAGATTTCGTATCTTACTGCTATTCCGGATGAGCCTAAAAGATCACACACACAGAGAAGGACAAGTGTGCGAGAAAGAGACGAGAATCCCCGAGTCACCAGAGTCTAGACCGACCAGTCCACAGGGCTGGACCGACTGGTCCAGACTTGGTAGACCAAAAGGTCCAAACCCTTGGACCGGACGGTCCAACCTCCGAGACAAACGTTGCGTTCGAACGAAAATTTAACCTAGACTGACCGGTCCAGAACCTAGACTAATCGGTTCAGGCGTCGGGGCACTCCTCCTACTCAAACTAGTATTTCTTGGAACTAAAATAAAAGGGACACGATCCCTAGGGTTTTGGCACGCCTTCTCAGACTTTTAGACCAGATCTAAGAGTCCCAAAACCCGCTTTTTAATTCCCTGAAACCCTGCGCATTATAAAGATCAAGATTTCTAGTTTTAACAGACGAGTTTCAATCGTTGGAATACTTCCCGACTTGTGGATACGTGTTGAGGGCTTGGTATTCTTCCTGCCTTCTTGTGATCGACGATTCAGCTGTGTTTACAGGCCTGGATCATTTGAAGTTAGTGTTTCTTCTATAGATCTACAATCATGCATGTTCGGTTTTAGGGCTTTGTTTAGAAAAAAATTTGTTTTTCACCTTCCACTGCATGAACCTTAGAACCGGATCTTTAGGATTATGAATTGTTAGCGAGAGGGCGACACGTGTCCTCCTTAAGAATATAAAAAATCTCTTTATACATTGTGACAGTCCAGGATACCGTAGGAGGGCGGGGCGTGATCGTCGATGCGGGAGGCATGGACAATGGGCGGCTCCTGACGACTGATTCGATCCCAAGTCTTTGAAACCCTATTCACTTCACAGATCCTAGCAGATCAGTTCCAAAAGTGTTTGGAATCCTTCCCGTCGGTGTGGATACGTGTAGAGGAGCTGTACTTTCAGCTTTTGGTGATTAAAACAGGCCCTGGATCGATTGCTACTTTCAGATCTTCAGGAAAGAGGTAAGTATTCGATTCCTACGGTGATATACACGATTAAACGGGGTTTTACGGATGATTTTGGTTGCGTGTGACGTTTGACTAGGTTTAGATTATTCTTCCGCTGCATGAAACCTAGTAAACCAAACCCTAGATCGATATGATCGCATGCTAGGAATCCGTAGCGAAACCCAACAGTGCACTGCAAAAAAAAAAGACAAAAAATGTCAGTTAAAAAACGAACAGAAAATGAACAAAATAAACGTAAAAGTATCAATCACAATTTGTTTTATGAATAAACAATTAACTTTTATAGTCATTTCTAGTGACTTTAAGTTTTCCTCCACTCTTTCATCATTACGTTATATTTAACTCCACTCCTTTTAATATTTAATTCATGTTTTATTGCAAGTATTATTGTGTGTATATATATGACGATTACAAATAAAAACAAATGCCATTACGTTACTTGAATGTATATTGCCCTTCACTCCTTTTAACATTTAATTCATGTCTTATTATAAGTATTATTGTGAGTGTGTATATATATTTGAGTTTTTAAATGACAAATAAAAATTAAAATAAATGCCATATAGATAATGAGGTGGATCCCATGTGTCCTCACCAAATCTCTTGAAATCAAACTTTTATATATATAGATTTAATGATTCTGCTATCCTATAAATCGTTACAAACTTTCCAGTTCTCTCTTTTTTTGTTTAAATAAATGTAGATCAATATGGATGAAGGATCCTGCGTTATGTGACATCTATTTTGACTAACATATACACAAATTTCATTAAAAATAAAATCTGCTGAATGCTATGATAATATTGGTCGCAACTCATGAATCTTATTCAAATGTCGGCCGTGTGAATTATGTGCCTTGTTGTTTCTATTGCCAACATTGAGATTTCAACTTCCTCTGAATATATATATATATTTATGAGAATATTTAGAAAACCACCATGGATCAAAATACAAAACTATGTGGGTAAATTAGATACCACCTTACTCCAAAAATCAATCCAAAGAAAAGAGCTCAGAAGCGTTATGGTGAAAAAAATGCAAAATACAAGCATATAACAATACAAGCACCGTACAAAAAAAACATTCTTTTAAAAGAGAATGAAGTGTATAATGAGTGAGACTACAAAAGCTCTCATCAGCTCGTAGGTATATATATGATCATACCTTTTCTTCACCTTTCTTCTTTTGCTATCTATTTGCTCTCCTTAACTCGCCCCCCATCCATATGTTATCGGCTCGCTTCTCCTGAACTCCACAAACCTGTATCCGTCGAGAAAAAAAAATATTAAACGTCGTTTCTCAATGTAACCTTTCGTTTATTAAATGCATCAAATTCATGAAATGGGACATTTGAATTGATTACTATACAAAACAAATTCCGTCCAAAAAGTTGTAAATTGAACATTCGGTTCGGTTATTCATAAACTAAATCTATCTGAACCAAACTGTAATCGAATTGAGTCTGGTATAAAAACCGAATAGTTGTGATATTTTTATAACCGAAAAACCAATCCGAACAGAATATAAAAATAACTGAAAAATCTGTAAATTTCTTTAGAATAAACATTTCTATCATTAAAAACCGAAACCGAACGAGTCAAACCTAACATAAAACCCAAATGGATACAGATTTTCGAAAACCGAAAGAGAACCTTTAATAAAACCGAACCGAAAACCGAAATGACACCCCTTTGTTTACCTCTTGATGTCCACCGGCTAATCGTTGGTATTTCTTATTGTGGCTATGGAGATATCCTCCGGTGTCTCTATGTTGAAGCCGGAATTTTTGGTCTTGCTTCCAAGTCTTCCCATTCCCCTCGATTAGTAGCCTACGAGTAAAAAGAAGGGCAAAAATGTGAATGGTGAAGAATCGAGAGAGAGACTCTTGGGAAAAGATCTGATCGTGTTAGGGATATTACTTCCAGTGGTCTCCAGTGTCGGAATTTGAATCACTGCCAAAGCAACTGACCTGCACCTCGAAAAGTTTCAAGAGAGTTATACAATCTGGAAATGTTTTTTTATACAACTAAAAAGCTTTAATGGACAATGGAACATCAAGTAATGTCCCGAAACTTCTGCTCTTTCAATGTGAATCAGAATATCGAAATGATTTACTAAAATTTCTTTACACATTCCAAACTAATCTCTTTGAAATAAGGATGGGCAGTTTCCAGGTAACCGTTCTCGAGGTACTTGGGTCATGTGTAACAAGACAGAAAACAGGTGCAATGAGGTCAGAAACCTGGACCGCGGTTTTGGATTTTTTGCCAGGTTATCTCGCGGGTATTGGGCTCGAGTAAAATTATGTTTATGTTTCTACTATTTTGATGTATTAACAACAATAACTAAGACCTTTTCTCGTGTGAAATTAGCGAAATACCCTTAAAGTCAACGTAAATCAACATAATTTGGAAATTTTCGTGGGTTCGGCATCCGATTTCAGCCCTATACTCTCACAAGACCGAAACTGAGATAATACCCTAGAAAACCCGTAGGAACGACACTAGGGCCAGATACCCAAAAAATCTGGGTATTGTACGCGCCTACCCCTAATCCGAAGTGTATGACTATGATTTCACAAGTTTCCATAAATATAGAGATTTTTTAGACGTCTCACATTCAAGCTTAGCTGAGTATCCGTCTTGCTATAAATGGAGGATGATACCAACCTCTAGGTTCCCCGATATCGGGGATGCATGCAGATGACTGTGCAGCCACCTTCTAGTCCTCATGTGCTGCAATCTAATGGTTGTTTGATAAACCCCTGCGTGTGTACCGGAGGAGGAACAAGAGGAAGAGAAGGGATGCCATGGCTGGAAGCGTTGCGGGGTGAGGAGAGGAAGACACCTCGAGGGAGAAGGCTTGGAAAACCGTTGCTGCTGGAGGAGAGAAGGAGACAGGTGGCAGCACAACAATGATTACCTAGGATTTGGGATTACCAGCACGTAGGTGGGGTGCAAGGGGTTGTTATGTACAGGGGAAGAGAATCAAATTGCCACCTCAGCAATTCTGTTGAGGCATGACTACTGTATATCTATGTTTTCTCTTTTGGGTGGGGGTCATGTTGGTTTTTATTTGAGAGTGGAATAGAGAAGAGAGTGATGTTCCTTTCTGTAAACCTGGTATTTGCATTTCTCTGGGTCTCTTTTGAAATACAAGCCTCTATTATCTATACAAAGTTCAATTAAAAGTGGTATCAGAGCATTCTATCGATCCTATCATGCCGCCAAAAGACAATCTGATCGAGATGTTGGAAGATTTGGTGAACTCGAAACTGGAAAAATTCGAGTCTGCCATGGGAGCTATGCAGGACAGATTTGCTTCAGCCATGCGGGTGATGCAAGGTCAGGTTTCTGTTGTCTAGAAAGAGATGGGTCGGATGGAGGTGTTGGAGCAGATGATGCGATCCTTGCTCGATCAACGCAATCCACGTGATAAACATCCATCCGTTCTTATCACTGGGGAGCAGTCAACGTGTGCTCAGTCATCGCCGAACTCTAGCGGCAAGACACCAATCGACGTCCCTGGTTCATCGGCTCAGGTGGATCCGTTATCGATGCTCGCTCAAGCGCTGGAGGTGGGACTTGAGGAAGCACTGATGCCTCTGCAAGCACCGGGTAACGATTTCACTTTACGGAAAATTGAAATGCCGGTTTTCGAAGGTGACAACGTTGCAGGTTGGATCGTCAGAGCAGAACGTTATTTCCGGTTCGGTAATATCGGCAATCCGGATAAACTCCGTTACGCGACACTCAGTATTGATGGAGAAGTGCTTCACTGGCATGAATGGCAGCACAGCAATCGACCGTTTGTCGATTGGCCTGATTTTAAATAGCGACTATTGGAGCGTTTTGATGTGCAAATTGCAGGGTCGGCGAAAGCCCGATTGTTTTCTCTGAAGCAAGTGGGTTCGGTCCTGGAGTATGTACGCAACTTCGAAGAATTGTTGGGTCAGCTCACGCGTGTTGATGTTGATGTTCTAGAGTGTGCCTTCAAAAATGGGTTGCGGGCAGACATCAAGAACATGGTCGAAGTTTTGGATCCCCAAGGTCTCGAGCGAACCATGGCCCTCGCGCTGAAATTGGATAGTTCGCCGCTGGGTTCATTGGCCGGAAAATCTGGGGATCATCGCAGTTTCAAACAGCAACAAAATCAGTCAGCGAATCCCTTTCGCACGATTACCTTACCAGCTGGAGGTGTTGGTGGGCTGCAACGTATGGGCTTTACTAGAAGGGTGGATTCTAATGGGCCTGTTCCACCTGGCCCATCTTCTTCTAGCCCATCTCAGTTGGTTTCTGGAATGAAAATAGCAGGGGTTCACCGCATTTCAGATGCGGAGCTCGACGACAAACGGAGGAGGGGAGTTTGCTTCCAATGTGACGAGCGTTATTTTTTCGGCCATAAATGAAAAGATCGGGAGCTCCAGGTGATAGTGGTGAAGGAAGACGGCGAGTTTCTGTTGCCGGAAGACGATGTTCCGGAAGTTATTTCCGAATCGCAAAATGAGTCGAAAGAATTGGCTGAGCTTTCACTCAACTTGGCGGTGGGCATAACGTCGCCATCGACTCTGAAAGTGCGGGGGTCGATTCGCGGTCAAGTAGTGGTGGTGATGATCGATTGTGGGGCGACTCACAATTTCATTTCGCTGGAGGTTTTGGACAAACTGGGATTGCAGCCCTCGTCGACGTCTGGGTACGGAGTTGCCCTAGGCACCGGGGTAATTGTTCGGGCCACGAGAATTTGTCAGGCCTTATTATTAACAATGCATCACTTGGAGGTTCTCGCTGATTTTTTGCCTTTAGAACTAGGCAGTGCCGATGTCATTTTGGGGGTTCAATGGTTGCGGACTTTGGGGAATATCCAGATGAATTTCGAGAAACTGATAATGCGTTTTACAGCGGGATCTACTCAGGTGACTCTTAGTGGCGACCCTCATCTGCATAATTCTCTCGTTACTTTTAAGTCCTTGATTAAGACTATTCCGGCAAGTGAGGCGAGTTATGTGGTGGAGTTCAGTGCGATGTGTTCGGTTTCCGCAGAATCGAGGGAAACACCGAGCAGTTTGGCTCAGATTTTGGAGGAATTTCAGGGGGGTTTTGCTGAACCATTTGGACTACCGCCATCACGAGGCCACGAACTCTACTAAGACAATGTGTTACACAAACTCTACTAGAACTTTAGGGTTTCATATGAGAGAACATGCATTGTCAAGAAAACAAAAGATGTTAAATTTAGAGATCTAGGATTAGTTTCAATCCAAAATACTTGTTCATTGGGGTGATAATCAATATGTTTACAATTTACAGTTGTTAAATTTGCGAAATTCGATAAGGTGCGACGGTTTGACTAGTTTGACAGTGCGACGAATCTGACGGTTTGACGGTGCGACAAATATGACGGTGAGATAGTTTTTCTTCTGTTAAGACCTTTTTTAGAGATTGAATATGTCTTCAAAATGAAGATGGAAATATGACGAAAGTGGGACTTTTTTGTTGAATTATGAACATTCTTCACCTATTAACGCATTTTTTATAGCACCAAATTTTCTGGAATCGAACCAAACTGAACTTTATAAAATTTCCAAAAAATCGAAACTTTCTTAAGAAACTCTAATTCTTTTTAACAAAAAACGAAACCGAAGCGTACCGAAATTAGAACCCAACTGATTCGAATAATATATGGTACTAATATCGTACCAAAACCAGAACCCACCCTTAATGCATACTATACATATTTATATATATATATAAATACTTATTTGTATACATATGTGATCACTTGCGTGATGAGCTTTAAATTTATACCCGACACACAACTAATCCGCAAGTATACGGATGTCGTAGTACCGGGGTCGAACACAAGGACTTAAGCGGTTAAGCTAGGAATCGACTAAAACTAGGAAAATGGAGAAAATAAAATCGGAGAATTGTTTTTGTTGGTTTTCGTAAGTTGCAGAAAATTAAAAGAAAGAAAGTAAAATCAAAGACAATCACAATTCAAGAGGAGATAATCGATGGGAAATGTCATGGGAATCGGGTTTCACCGATCATGCAAGGATGCCGTAAAGGATTATGGACCTAGATCATGCTCGTTCTAAGGTGAGGGATTCGAAGACTAAGGTCGGGTTCGGTTCTCTCAAACCGAAAACCCGCTATCCAAGAGAGCACTCTACCCATTTTCATGGTCTAGAGTAAAATCCCGAATGCATTAAATTCCCTTATCATAATCCTAGATTAAACCGAATCAAATTTCTTCGGATTCAATTTCAACCCAATTGATTGAATGCATCAAGAGACCAAGAACCCATGTCTCCATGTAATTCACAATCCTAAAATCTACCCACAAAATTCTCATCCAATGGGTAACATTAAACACCATTCAATCAACCTCTAGCAATCAAAACCCAAGCAATTGCATCACTCAATTTAACAAATCCTAGGTTTCCCTAAACATTCATTCAAGAGAGATAAACTTGGAGAACACAAATTTTTCCCTAAACATTCATTCAAGAGAGATGAGAGATAATCATGAAGAACAAAATTCCATTCATTGCAAGAGTTTGAAAGCATAAACAAGACACAATCTTGGGTCCAAAGGTCAAGACAAGCATCTTTACATGAGGGCTAATCTCTCATCCCACAACAAGAAGACTACTCACAAACCATGTTCAAGAACACCAAAATAGCTAGAGGAAACATAGAGAGAGAAAGGGAAAGAGATGCTCAATAGAATCTTCAATCTTCAAGCCGAAGCAAACTCCTTCTTTCTCCTTCAAGATTTCGGCCCTAGGTCTTCTGGAGGAAAGAAAATCGCCTCCTTTGCTTTTCCAAATCGAGCCCTCTCCAAAAAGTCCAAAAAATCGGACTTAATTTAGTTCCAGGTTACGCGGTCAGCCGGATCAAGACTTGGTCCGGCGGACCGGACGTACATGAAGAAGACGGACCGCGAAGAAAACAGCTCCTGGTCCGGCTGAGGACTTCAGTGGACTCCCCCCGGCTGACTCGGAGCGTGCTGGCGGACTGGGCTGAGGCAGAGAAATGCTGGTCCGGCTGACCAAAACTGGTCAGCGCCGGACCAGCTGCGCTTTGGATCTGGTCAGGTCCTCTTCGGTTCGGCGGACTGAGGGGCACGAAACTCACTGGGTCCGGGGCTGACCAGTTCTGGTCAGCTCCGGATCGGATGAGTTCTTTTACTTCTCCCTCGTCTTCTCTCCTCGGTCCGACTCGATGTGCTGGGCAAACTTGGTCCGCCGGAGTGCATTCCGATCAGCGGCATTGGTCAGCCAGCCTTGCTCGGATCTGAGGGCGGAGTGCTTCGGCGGGCTGAGGGGCACGATACTCACGTGGTCCGGGGCTGACCAGATTTGGTCAGCTCCGGACCGGATGAGTTCTTTTACTTCTCCCTCGTCTTCTCTCCTCGGTCCGACTCCAAAAAATGTCTAAGAATGTATGGAAAACATTTAGAAACCAAAGACATACTCGAATAAAATCCAGATAAAATCCGAGCCATCAATATGTATATTATACATATCGATATATATAATATTTATTCGTATATATATGTATATATATATATATATAATATTTATACATCTAAATACACACATATATATATACAAAGTATACATATATTTATACGTATCAATATATATATCTTTATATATAGTATATAGAAAATACATGTATTTAAATATATATATTCGTATATATATTTTTCAATTAATTTTTTCAATTAAAATTCAAATTTTTAATCGATATCCGTTGGAATTCTATTGTAATTTTTTTCCAACTGAAATTCGTTGGAATTCCTTTAAAAATTTCCAACCGATTTTTTTAACCGATATCTGTTGGAAATTTTCAACCGATTTCCGTTGGAAATGTCGTTGAAAATTTTCAACCAAAATTTTCAATTGAATTCATTGAAAATTCCATTAAAAATTTCCAATGAAAATTTCAACAACAATCCGTTGAAAATTTCAACATAAATCGTCGTTGAAACTTTGTTGAAAACTGTTGAAAATCTGTTGAAAATTTTTCAACGGACAAATCCTTTGCAAATCGATGATTTTTTGTAGTGGACTAGTGTTACCAGTTTGACCAGTTTTATCAGACTAGTCAAACTGGTCACACCCT